AATTCTAACAATTCTAATAGCAATTTCAATTTCATTCTTTTTAGGAGTATTTAAAGATAAAGTTCTCTTAACTTCTTCATTTAAATGAAATTGATTAGTATCAATTTGTAAAGAAACATTTCCAATAAATTCATCTTTGGTAATTTTGTTTTCATCCATAACAGTGAATAAAAGTGTTACATTTGGAATATTCTTCAATACCATTCCAGAGACTGGAATTACAAATTCATTATTCCACTCTGGATTTGATGATTTTGAAATAACAAATGATTTCTTCTTTATATTGGCATCTAAATTAGTTTCAACTAGACAGTAGGCATCTTGTTTTGATGATAAATTAGCTCCAATTGTACGAACAATAATTAAATCTCCATCTAATAAACTCATAATGACTGTACTACAATAATAATAATAATAATAATAATAAAATACACAAGATAATGATCCTGGATAAAGGTAACTTTTTTTTTTAAATTTGTTGAATTTATAATTGTTCACCATGTCATGTTGACAGGAGCGACCCAAAAAAACAAAATAATAATTGATTGGTTGACCATTTAAATAATAGAGGGTCATTTGATGTGAAATGGAATGTTCTTAAAAACAATAATTTTAAATGTTATTTCTTTTTTTATTAATTATTAGTATTAATATAAAGAGAAACAAAGAATGTAGTTAAATTTATACTAGTTGCCATACAAACAATACCAAGTATTACAATTAATGGAATTGGTAAAAGGAATAATTCTGAATTTTTGATAAAAGTTAATTTGAGATAACCTTTAAATGTAATGTACCAATAATATGAAAATGAAAAAATGTAAAGTAAATCTGAAAGTATTATTCCCATAAATCCATCCATGCTTAATAAAGGTAAAAATATAAATTGAGCAACATAGAGTAAAATAAATAATGGAAAGAATGAATTTGTATGAATATCAAAACTATATAACCATTCAATACTTTCATTATCACTTGTTGATAGAATTTTGTTTCCAATTAACCTAAAAATCAAATATTACATTAAAATATATTAATCCATCATA